TTCTTCTATAAATGATACATGCCAAGAGGCAAGGTGAGCTGTACGCACTGGTAGGAAAGGTACATTATTTTTTAGCAAGTCCCTGTCTCAAAATTTGCAAAATGAAAAAAAAAATTGCAAAATGAAGCAGGATGGGACATATGCCCAGGGTAGACTCTGGGTTCAACCCCAGACCCCACTCCCAGAAAAAATCCTATTATAACATTTAAGAATGGAATTCAAACATCAAAATTACTTTTTTGTATCTTAACCCGAAATAGGTTAGTGTGCCTGCTCTCTGTTTCTCTGTCTCTTTCTGTCTTTTTTTAACTTTGTGTAAAGCTTGAAAGAATGACCACAAAGTGGGGCTCGCTCCGCTGTCTCTGGAAGCCTCCTTTCTGCAGCGCAGGTGTTTGCTTTTTCCTGTGTTGTTTTGTCTTCCATTTCATACACGTGTGTCCGCACTGTGACTGGACACACAGCCCGTCAGTTCCTCTCTGCCTATTCTTGCTTCCATAGCTATATTCAGAAATGAAACAATATCCATGTTGAGATGAAAACGTCTCCAGAATACATTGCTACCTAACGTGGATGAAGAATCAACCTTGTTTAGAAAACCTCACCAAATCTGGAAAAGATTTTCTCTGGGCTGTTATGAGATATTTGTGTGTGTGTGTGTGTGTGTGTGTGTGTGTGTGTGTGTGTGTGTGTCTTTTTTGGGCCATTACACTATTGTCCAAATTACAAATTTGGCCTGCTAATGAGCAGTACAGATGCACTCGAAATAATTTTTAATCAGTAACCCGTTCCTCAGAATGGCAGCCTGTGGCAATCGCTTTAATTTTGAGACAGTAAACCTGAGTCGGGAAAACTGTAACTGAAGAAATCCCAAGAGCATTTTTATGTTGGATACTATCTAAAGAAAATCAATACAGCATCCAGCAGTGGTAAATCTTGTGTGCTCCAGGAAGCACTTTACTTGTCCATTTCATTAATAGCAAATTCAGTACAAGAGCAAGCCTCTGGAGAATTGGTTGCCACAAAGTGATATAAAAGATACACCTTCTCAGTGGGCATTTATAGCATTTCACTCACCCTGAAGGATTCATTTAAGTGGTCTCTGTTACGAATATGAATGCCCTGACGCAGCCCTTAAGCTGAATTGCCCCCACCCCTGGAGTAGCTCTTCTACCGCTCCTGCTGCAGCCATGCTGGAGCTCGTGTCCACCTGGTCCCCGGCCTGCCTGCCTGGCGGCCGATGCCGTTCCCACAAGTGGTGCCCTCGGGTTCAGCCCCCACCCGACAGGCCTGCGTGGCCTGTGCTCGCAGCCTGTGTGGTGTGCAGGGCAGTCAGCGGGCTGGCAGTGGCGGCGGCGCAGGGCCTGGTGAGGTAGGTGAGCTGGAAGCGTGTTAGAAGAGCAGAGTCTTCTGTGTTGGCAGCACTGGGGGTTCAGCCTGGAGCCTTTCCCTCTGACCTACACAACTCCCCTGGCTGACTTTGTTTTGAGACAAGTTCTCGCAGACCACCGAGCTCTCCAGGCTGGATCTGGGCGTGCCACCAGCCTGCAGGGAGTGCTTTATAGTACTTATCAAATGGCCCCACTACAGCACCTGCGCTGAGTTCTAGTAGAAAAATATTGTTCTTTTTTTAAACTTTCAAAGAATACAAAATAGCGATAGCAAAAAACAATCTTGCATCATTTTCACTAAACAAAGTAATACAAGATTTCACTAAACAAAATAATAGGAATTCAACAGTGTTGCTGTATACGTGATGCTGTCTTAGTTGTTCAGATTACAAGATATAAACATGTAATATTCGTTTAAAGAAAACAGAGCAAAACAATAACAAAGAAGTTATTAGAAAGAGGAAGAAAAAGATCAGAGTTAATTAAGCATTAACTGCTCCTTTCAGAAGACCAGCAGAGATTAACAATACAGTTATCCAAACTTTCTGCACATATACCTCCATATATCTTTTTTCCATAATTTTATTGATAAACAAATAGCAATGAGATAGTTTCAAATCAAATTGGTAGGACAGTTTCAATAATTAACACATTGCATACATTCTTCCTAGTGGTTAATTGCTGTACAAGATGCAGACATGATATCCTATTTACAAACACCATTAGAACAAATCCCTCTATTCATTAAGAGAATGTAACTATATATCTATCCTAACCACTTTGAATACACAGATACAAAATGAACATTCATCTGTATCCCCTTTTTTTGTTAAGTTCTGTTATTATAGGTGTGTGAACTCAGCAAAATCCTCCATCTATCTTTCCCCTTCTTTCAGTTGCTCTTCTCCTCATCTCAGTTTTTCCTTCCCATTGAGCAGTTTCTTTCGCTTTCACAGTAGCTGTTGTACCTGTAGATTTTCATCACTCTTCCAGGCTCTTGCACTATTGAGGAAATAGGGCTTGCACTTGTGGGTCTTCTCCTCATCTCAGTTTTTCCTTCCCATTGAGCAGTTTCTTTCGCTTTCACAGTAGCTGTTGTACCTGTAGTATTTCATCACTCTTCCAGGCTCTTGCACTATTGAGGAAATAGGGCTTGCACGTGTGGGTCTGATTTATTTCACTTAGCAATGTAGTCTCTAGCTGCATCCATTTATCTAAAAAAGTCACAAATTTATCTTTTTTGTAGCTGAATGATTCTCCATTATGTAAAAATACTGTGTCTTCTTTATCTATTCCTCAGTTGATGGGCATTTGTGTTGTCTCCAAGATTTAGCTATGACACATTGTGCTGCTATAAACACGGGTGCACAGATGACACTGTAGTAGGATGATTTCATTCTTTTAGAAAAATGCCCAGGAGGGGGAATAGCTGGCTTGAATGGGACCTCCAATCCTAGCTTTTTGAGGAATCTCCATTCTGATTTTCGTAGTGGTTGTACCAGCCGGCGCTCCCACAAGCAGTGGCGAAGGGCTCCTTTTCCCCCACACTCCAGCATTTGTTATTGTTTGCCATCTTGATGACAGCCATTCTTTCTGGGGAAAGATGGAATCTCAGCACTGTTTTAATTTGCATCTCTTGGACGACCAATGATGTTGAACATTTTTTCATATATTTATTTGTCATTTGTATTTCTTCATTCATGAGGTGTATATTCATCTCAGATGCCCATTTTTGGTATAGGTCTTTGAATTTTGGAGGCCTGTTGTTGTTTTTTTTTTATGTATTTAGTACAGGATCTACAGGGGAGCCTGATTTTTAAAAAATTCTTCCTATGTTCTGAATATGTATTGTTAATGCACATGGAAGCTCAATTTTGATAAAGAGATGAAAATGCAACTCTTATGGCAGTTTCTTTCCTCTAAGTGGCATCTTTTCTGCCAAGATTTTTCATAGAAGTAGAAAAGTACAAAGGACCTTGAATATTGTTCAGAGTAGCCCTTAGACTTTGTAGTGTTGTAAGAGCTCCCGGTACGATTCAACTGACTAAAAATGTCTTACGATTCAGGCACTTGCAGGTTGTAGACACTCCGGTTCTTGGTGTCCACCACGTTGAATTCTTCTGCAGGGCACTGGCAGCCTGTAGAGGTGACCAGGATAAATGGCTATTTTTATTACTAAGCTGACTTGATTCTGCTGTGTAATTTTTGGGGAGAAAGCATAGAACATTCTGGACAAGGGCAGCTTAAAAAGACAGCAGATTTACACAGTGGAGGAAGTCAGAGCGTCTCGAGTTTGGATCACAGTGTCAGCCTTCACGACCACAGCGCCCTGTGTGTGTGTGTCGTATGAACACATACAGGCAGACACATCCAAAAAATGTTTAAAACTCAAGTGTTAGGGCCAGGAGTAGTGGTGCATGCCTGCCGTCCCAGCACTCAGGGGTCTATGGCAAGAGGATTGCTGTGGGCTGCAAAGTGAGCTTCAGGCCAGCCTGCGCTGTGCAGCGAAATGCTGTCTCAAAAAGACAAACAAAACAAAACAGAACAAGTGTTGTTTAAAAACCATGTTGAAGCTGGGCATGTATCTGTAATCACAGCACGTGGAGGCTGAGGCAGGAGGACTGCCATTTTGAGTCACGCCTGGATTACTTAGCAAAATGCCATTTCACAGAATAAAAAGGGTTGGGGTTGTAGCTCAAGGAAAGCCCGAGGCTGAATTCCCAGGGCGTGCATACTTTGTAATACACACATACATACATGAATAACTATGATGTTGGATAGACCAAGATAAAATCATAGTTTGTGGTATAGCACCTGCCTGGCAAGCACAAGATCTGGATTCTCACCCCCCAAAGACAGCATAGTTGGTGCCATTTACTATGGAAACCTTTATACAAATCATTTTTTGTATTTTAGTAATGCATGACACTGGGGAATTTGGTATATTCTAAGCAAATGTCTACACTATAAGAATAAAAAATATTCACTGCTTAATTCATTACTTTTCCAAGATTTCAATTTTAGAAGGTAATTATTTCATAGGTTTAAAGGAATTACTTCCCAATCCTTACTGGACTGGAGGCTACTTTGGAACATGGAGAAATTACCTGAAACATTACTCCACACAATAATGTACTTTGCTTCCATACACTTAGTCTAATATTGACTTCGAAACAAAAGTCAAGTTTGGCTGTTGCAGGATAAATGGCGGGTGCACTTCGGTCCCTGCAGGTGATGCCCATCCTACGGCAGCATAGTGCGCAGCTGGCCTGAGCTCCGGAAGATGGGCGTGTCCGATCTGTTCTTTAGCCCTTAACTCTATTCCTTTCTTCTGCTTTGGGTGTTCTTTTTGCACGCCATTTGTTTACTCTTTCTGAAGTTAGTATGTCTTCAGACGTCCAGCTTGCCCAACTGCACTGTCTTAGTCTTGGTGTGTCCGGGCTCGGAGCTTTGCCACTGTGCATAGGAAGAGAGTGGCGGATGTGCCGTGGAGACGCCTGCCCCGCGGACCTGTTGGTCAGCGTAGATTGATCCTTGTTCTGTGCCCAGCTTCCCGGGGGGCTGCTGGCCATGTGGATGGGCCGCGCCCCTCACTACTCTCTCCTCTGGCAGAACCTGGATGCCCTGCATGACCACCTGGCTACCATCTACCCAGGCATGCGGGCGCCTTCCTTTCGGTGCACGGATGCCGACAAGGGCAAGGGGCTCATTCTTCACTACTACTCAGAGCGCGAGGGGCTGCAGGACATCGTCATCGGGATCATCAAGACAGTGGCTCAGCAAATCCACGGCACAGAAATAGACATGAAGGTAATGAGCGCGACGGGCCTCTGAGCATGGGGGATGTCAGCACAGAGTTGAGATGCGATGCCAAATATTGCTGTTAGCTATAGCTATTGCTGTTAGCATGCAGCATGACAAAACATAGGTGTGTGTACAGGTATGTATACCTGTGCAATGTGTGCATTTATGTATACGTACATGTAATATACAGAGTGATGGAACGGTCTTCTGTATTTGGGCTTGGAATGATACAGGGTGTTTTTGCTTGAAGCATATTTTTCCTTCTAACTATACGTTGCTTAAAAGCAAGAAGCGTGGAGTTTGCATTCCCTTTGAACGCACTCAGCTGGGAGCTGGAGACTGCGCCTCCTGGGTCCTGAGTGTGGGAGAAACTGGCCAAATGTGGCCATAACGCAAAATCAACTACTGTTTTACAGAACCGCCTTTCTCTGTGGTTATATGATCTGCTCTGATGTGCAGTTGGATTGTCTTGTCAACTAGAAGCTAGACTCTGTCTCTGTGTCTCTAACCCTGTCTGTCTGTCTGTCTGTCTCTCCCCGTCTTTCTTTTTCTCTTTCTCTGTCTCTTTTTTAAGTCAAGTTACTTTGTTGAAAGAAGCCAGGTCTGATATTGCACTTTAAAAGTTGTTTTAAAGTTGTTGATAGTACGCAGCTAGTTTTTTTTTTTTTTTTTCCTTTGTTTGGAGAATTGAACTCAGAACTCTCATGTGCTGGGCAGGTGCTGTGCCCCTGGGCCATACCCCAGCCGTGCACTTGGTTCGAATGCTAATCTCAGGGCCCCAACACAGCAATGGCACGGAGCTCACAGCTGCCTTCTGAGGCTGACCCTTGCCGGCTCTCCGCCAGCCACTCGTGTGTACATAGACTCCCTAGCCCCCGAGTGCCCTTTGGCTGTGGCCACACACTTACACCTGGGTAGGGTCTGGTGCAGGCCCTGCCATGCTTGTCTTTGTGGGGAACCCACTAGGCAGCGCTCTCCCAGCTGGCGTTCCTATGCTAACTCTGGTGAGTGCTCTGCGCTCTACACACTGTTATACAGAATGCAATGTGCAACAGTTAGATTGATTAGAGCAATACCTCATATGTGATCTTATTCTGTCAGCTAGATTTGAGTGTTCTTCCTTTTGGGAACTGGCCTGGCCATTCTTATGTGATGCTTAGAGATCTGCATGTGTCCCATGAATTTCTCTACACCTAGAAGGTAAAACTGTGTTTACTTCAGAATAGCCAAATCCAGACACAAGTGAAGATTTAAACCATGGCTAAAATGTGGAATTCATTCCTGGGTGGGAGTCCCACTGAAACTCCATCCAAAGGGCATATTCCTTTTATTTCCTATCTCTTGGTCTTGACCCCAAAATAATGCAGCATCTCCCCTGAATGACCCTGTCCTGGGCTGGGTTCATGTCTGCTGCTGCACTGGCTTCTCGTGTAGCTGAGATGAGCAAGGTGCCGGCACACAGGGACTGCAGGAAGAAGCACAGCTTAGGGCGCCCAGCAACTGCCATTCCTGCGATTATCACGAGAGCAGGGGCATTCACGCTCTCTGCAAAACTCAAGCTTTTACTTAACTACATAGTACTCTTTCTACAATATTTAGTGTGTTTAGGGTTTTTATTTAAATGATTCAACATGAACTTTGAAACATTTGCATTTCATGGGTATATTTTACATAATTTTTAAAAAGTCACTCTTTTAACTTCTTTAGGTATTAGATCAAATTTGTAAGTTTAATGGATCCAGAGATAATGGACATTTGAAATGATGTAAGAAATATTACATCATAACCAAAAAATATATACCACTGAGAGTTTTTAAACATATGCAATTCTTTTTTTCCAGTTTGATTAAAAAGAAACCAAATAAGTAATGAATCAATTGAAGGTACTTATATTTTAGTTCTAGTACAGTGTAGCAGAATGTGGATGGAAGGCCTAGGTTTTAAGATTAATTGTTTTCCTTTCCCTGTGAGTTAGAGAAATCAACATTGGTGGGGCATAAATTTTAAATGATGCATGAAAATATCAGTATTTAACCAGCATAGTAAAACTGGTATGATGGTGTGATGGTTATAGCAGTTATGTCTTAATTTTTACAAGAATATATATGAAGAAAAACACATGGTTGGCACACATGGCATTGTGATTGTTTAAGTGTAAGAAGGCTCTACAACGAGCTCCCAGCGAAACCGCTCGGGTGAGCAACCTTGGTCTTCATCTTCCTGGGACTTAAATCGGTCCCAACCAAACTCCATGTGGGTCTGACGGGGCTGAGGCAGAGTTTTTCCCTTTGGAAGAGGGCTCATTGTTTGCAGTGGACAGTGGAGACTTGCATCTTCTGTCCAACTGTGAGAGTAATACTTTGGGAATGTAATTTTTTCTTGAAGTTGTAGAGTTCTGCTTGCACTTGTGATTACATCTTCAGAACAAATCCCCAAACTGAATGCAGATATGCAGCATACAATTTTAAGGGCTTTTTATGAGTAGTATGCCTTTATCCTTTAGAGAGATCTAAGAGATGCTCCTGTCTATGCTCTCTGAGGCGCCTCTTTTCAGGAGCCCATCCAGTCTACAAGGCAGTTTTTATACTTTTGCTCTCATCATTTTCCACAGATGGGACCAAACACTCCATATGCACAAGTTAAAGGAGGAAGGATTTCTTTCCCTCCTGTTGGGATTTCAGACCACAGGCTCTGCCGGTAAGGTAGAGATAGCACCACATGTGGAAGCAGAGAAAGAGGATGAGACACAACCAGCTAGAGCAAAGGGGGTAAAGAGCAAAAGCTACCTTCTGGGCTGCTCTCCCGGGGTCCCAAAAACAGGAGCAGTCACCTATGGACTCATCAGCATATCAGTGAGTGCTGTGTCCTGCCATCCACCCACCTTCCAGAAGCCCCTCCACTGATGACAGGACACTTGGGGAGACCTGCTAGACCTCAGCCATAGCAGCTGGACATTGATGAGTAAAGGATTATGATTGCTTGTGTTGTGAAGTATACGTCCCTGTCCTTTAGCATCATGTTACCATGTTAGATAGTCACTGTCAATGGCTTATAGGCTGTTCAGTCAGCAGTTGTGCCTAGCCTGTCAGGACAGGAGGCGGTTATGTCCTGGTTCTACCAAGGAAGATTCCGGACAGCTGGAGAACTTAGGTCAGGCTTGCAAGTTTACTCTGGGTAATTAATTATTCAGTGTTCAATTTCACAGGTCGAAGTCTTGAAATCTCTTTCTATTTACACATTACATAAATTTATTTTAATATTTAAATGTTATGTTAATGTTTAAAATGTTGGTCGGTGCCATTCTCACTGTCAGCTTCTTATATTTAGATATTGAGGCTGAGCTAAAATTTGGTCCCTTCCATCTTTGACATCCAGGTTATTCAGCAAAGAAGTGAAGAATGTGATCATACTCAATTTTTAATTGAAGAGAAAGAGTCAAAAGAAGAGGATTTTTATGAAGATCTTGACAGATTTGAAGAAAATGGTACCCAGGAATCACGCATCAGCCCCTATACCTTCTGCAAAGCTTTTCCTTTCCACATAATATTTGACCGAGACCTCGTGGTCACCCAGTGTGGCAATGCCATCTACAGAGTGCTACCACAGGTAATTCTGAGGACAGCAGCTCTGCTCCCTGGGACTCAATGCTGTGGCCGCATGTGGTGCTCACTGCTCTGAGCCCTCGTGCAGGGGTCGGCACCGGATGTTGGCTCTTGCACGTATTTTTAACTGAAGTGTGGAGGAGCATACTGTAATTTTCTTTAGGGTGTCTGTTTATTCATTTTATAGTCACTTCCAGCGACACAGGAAATTATGTAAAAGTATTATGTTTATTTTAGTGAGAAAATGGAGAACATGCTAGCAGTCAACTGTTGCTAATTCAGTGTTGAGTAAATATCCATTATATATTTATGCCATCAGAAAACAGCTTTCCAAATTAACTACTGACATTTTCAGGGGGAAAGTGAAGGAATTTGAAAACACTGATGAAAGTGATTATCATTTTGTTTAGTAGAAAACGTGCTCAGGGACAATAGTTGGGGTGATGAGAACCAACATTTGACTGTTATTCCTAAGACCACTTGAAAAGCCTTCCTTTTACTTGTACATTCTCTCATCTACCAAAGTTTGGAATTCTCCCTGACACCTGTCTAGATGTACAGTACTATTTTGTTTCTAATTAACGAGACTTTTAATACAGGATTCATCCCAATGGGAGAAGGCACAGAGATACAAATCTGGAAGCAGAGAGTGGATGTTGGTGCCTTTGCCTGTCCCTCCCTGTGGCCCTGTGGTGTCACTGTCTGCCTGTGTCCCTGTTGTGCTGACAGGAGAGAGATCCCACAAGAGTCTTTCCATGTCTCCTCCCTCATAAGCAATCACCGAGTGTTGTTTACTTTTCTTATTAGTAGCCGTTCCTTGATAACTTGTAGGGTTTTTAACATTCAATTTCAAGTCATAGACATTTAATACCTCGTGCTACAGTTTAGAAGATACATTTTCATCCTTTCTCTTTATTAAAATATTTACTTCCATTAACTTATGCTCATAAGCTGGTTATCTGAAATCACATTAGATTTCTGTCTGATGTCTGCTTGATCCCTGAGTTGCGTCTGAGTCCATAGTCGAGGGTAGTTTCCTCCACAGCACCTAGGATGTTCTATTTATTTCAACTTAGGAAGTGTCTTATCTGATTCCTTATCTGATTCTAGCTCCAGCCCGGGAATTGCAGCCTTCTGTCCGTCTTCTCCCTGGTTCGCCCTCATATCGATATCAGTTTCCATGGGATCCTTTCACACATCAACACTGTTTTCGTCTTGAGGAGCAAGGTGATCCAACTCTTATTTCATTAAGTGTATGCAGGTGAGCTGTCCCACTTGGAAATGATTAGGAAGAAAAACAATCTTCTGCTACTTGCTGTGAGATGGAGAAATTAAAAGAGAGTGAAACCCTAATCTCACAGATGGGCTTGTGGGCCGCACTGCTGTGGCATAGGGTTTCGCTGAAGAGCACAGCCCTGCATCAGAGAGCAGAACGAGCTGAGTGCCTTGATGGGACAGCCCCATGATATTTAATAAAACCACCCTCTCTTCCCAGTAGGGGTACGCTGCCTTATTTTAGGAAGAACGGGTTTTGTTGTTGTTTGTTTCTTTGTTTTTAACTTGATCCAAAGCCAGTGACTAATTCTTCCTTAAATTGTTTATTATTCTCAATCCTTTGTAGGAAGATACAAGTGATAAAGCACTGACACAGCTGGTAATTTAGGTGGTGTCCAGGGCTTAGAGTTTGTGTCCTCGGTGTCCTAATTATAGCCAAACAGTTCTCTTAGAGTTCACACTTCCCACTCCCCAATTCTCTGCAGAGGTCGTACCTGTGCATTTGTCTGTGTTTAGGCCTATTTTCAGTGGCTCTGTGAATTGAGCATTGGCTTGTTTTATCTGTCAGTACACTGGTTCCCCCAAAAGAAGACCTAGTCAGGGAACAATCACCTGGGAAACCAGAAATCAGAAGAGCAGCCCCAGTCTGGCCTTAACCAGCATGCCCATCCCTTGCTCGGTGTCTACTCTCCTACGCAGGGGAGGCCAGGATGGGCCACCTGGGGCTGTGTTGCTAATCGCTAGTTTTCCAGGCTGATCATTTTCCAGCTGGGTCTTGTTACCAGGGAACTGTTATGCCATAGCCATCCATGAAAATCAAGGGTGAAGCGCGTCACAGAATCTTGTCATTTAAGTCTGTGAAGGTAGCTGCTGCCCTGAGCCCCGGAGGTGGCCGGCGGCTTTTCCCACTCCCCCGTGCCTGCCGGGCTGGTCTCCCTTCGGGTTACTGTGGCATGAGAGGCGAGTAGCCCCGTGCTGAGGAGCCGCGGGTGAGTGTAGACGCAGGAGTTCACGGCTGTGTCTTATCTCCAAGGAAGGGTTGCTGGACGTCGAGAAGCTGGAGTGTGAGGATGAACTGACAGGGACGGAGGCCAGCTGCCTGCGCCTCAAGGGGCAGATGATCTACCTGCCCGAAGCGGACAGCCTTCTGTTTCTGTGTTCACCAAGGTAACAGTGCTGGGTGCATGTAACTGAGGTAGGTCCCCACCCTTGGTTGGCAGAGGGCGTCAACCACATTCCCAGGTTTTGAGTAGTGCTTACAGTGTATTAAATGTATGTATTAATGGGGTTCTGTGTGATCTTTCATTTCATACATACAGCACCCACTGATCAAAGCCATCCTCCGTTTATCCCAGGAACTTTTATTCCCTCATGTATGCTTATGCCAGGAGTGTGGGTTCTCCTGGTCTTTTTATAGGATTCTCTGGAGCAAGAATGACCTTCCTGGGTACTTATTAATCAACTCAGAAGTGGCATGCTTTACAGGCCACATCAAAATCTATTTCTGAAGTACTTTTGTTGTCAGATCATGGCCTCATTGCCTGGTGCTTGCTGTATATCTTCAAACAGTTCTATAAAGCATGTAAAAGGGTAGCATAAATACGTGGAAATGCTTGACTCTTAGGAAATTAGCTTCGCTGTAGTGTGGCAATAAAGAATATGAAAATACTCTTGCTTCTAGCCCTAAGAGTCTATCAAAAAACTTCATTCAGATACATTAATGCATATTATTAAATTGAGATTTATTAAGATACGCTTTGTGTAATAAAGAGAGCAGCACAAGGCTATGACTTGGTATTTTCCACAATGAGAAAGCATTTTACTTAAAGCCTGCATAAAAGTTCAGAAGAATTGAAAAAGAATCTAAATTTGCTTTAGAGCAAAAAGAAAACATGGGGCTTGTGATGTGTGGGCATTTTGTGGACTTACAGTTGTGCAAGCTCAGTGTGTGTTCATTGTCCAGTAAGAACCACTGAGAAAGCTGGTTGCGGGAAGGCACTGGCTAAAAATCCAATTTTGTGTCCACCATGAACTCTTTGCATGTGAAGGTTCTGTCTTCAAGCACTGGAGAAGGTCTGGTGACCTTTGTAGCTATGGAGTATGTGAAGAATTCACAAAAGTAATATTTAAAACTAGACAAGAATATATTAATTGCCAATTAGTTGTGAAGTACATTTAATATGAATTAAATACTGTTTGTGATTATACATATTACATGAAGTACAAAAATTGCTTTCTCCTGAGAGATATATAAAAGTAAAAATTAAAAAGGTAAGATTATGAAATATAAAATTTCTAAAAGTGAATAACTTACATTTATCTCTCCTTATTTCATCTGTCAATGAGCATTTTCTTCCTCTGCCTCTCTCCAGGTTGAGATTCAGTAAAATGACAGTTTCTCACAAGGGACAATCCCTGCTCATTGAGAAGGGAGGTTTTCTGGAGGGTGTGACAAGAAGGATTTGGAATGTGCTTGTTACTTGCCGTGTGCAGAAATTGGCCCCGTGTTAGGGGTTCAGTTTGTCCTGTGAGACTTGCTGCTGTGTGTAGGAAGATTTGTGCCCATAGTAGATAAAACAAGATCAAGTTAAAGCAGTTTTACTCATAAAATAATTTTTGATAATCATCCTAAGAAAACAATTGTGTTAATAGTTCATTCTAAGGAGATGGCTCAGTGGAATAAGCGCTTCCCCGGCAAGCGCAAGGGCCTGAGTTCAGTCCCCAGTTCCACAAAAAAAAAAAAAAAAAAAAAAAAAAAAAAATCATTCATATAATCTTTTAGAACAATTAAATGGTTATAATTTAATAGTCTTCTAAGTCAGCATGGACATTTAAAACCATTCATTTCCATTTTACGTTTTGTCTCCTTAGGGCAGGTCTTATGTACCACTTGGCAAGTGACCTAGTATCTTTCCAGATCATGAGGGTTGTTTCCTCAAGAGGGCTTGAATTCTTTTTAACAAAATCAAAAGAGACATCTGTGTTTTCAGGAAGTCCTCCGTGAAATCATAACCCAAGTTTTCTATGTAGGGAAATTATTATCTCAGTAACTGGAAGTAGTTACTTTGTGTTGAAATAACTCAAACTAGTGTCTTTAAGACTTTTTAACCTATGAATAAAATATTTTAAAAGCAATGAACTTTTCAGTTACCAGAGTCTCACTGAATGAATAAACAATATTATGTAGCTCCACAGATTACTGAAATTGTGAAGAGGCCTGGAATTCAGCAAGATCAAATAATGATTTAGAAAAGTAGGAAAATTTTATCAAAGAAAATCAGAATAGAAGAACTAAGAGGTAAATGTAAGAATAACATAAAAGTGTGTGCCAGAAAAGCTTTTAAGCATAGCAAAAACAAGTTGAAGATGTACTAAATCTTGTAGTCCTGTAAACATTACAGCCAGTGGGAAAAGCAGCCGGTTAGAAGATTGATAGACTCCACAGTCAAATAATGAACTAGTTTCTCAGAAGTAATTACCGCTGAGAAGAGAGTATAGGTATCTTTCCTCTTTTTATAAAGAAAAAGGTTACATAATAAACACAGCCTTCTATTAAGGATCTGAGATGATTCTGCAGTGCTCTTTCCACACTGACCTTCTATAAAGACAGCTCTATGAAACACAACTTGATAAAGATGTAATTCAAGTTCACTTACCTTAGAATTTTAGATTTATGAGAAAATAAGGTCATCTTATAAATTCAGCTCCCAGAACTGTTTTCTCTCAGCCTGACCCTCGAACGGAAGGACCTGGCCAGATGTTGCCTGGCCGGTCCGGTCTTCGGGCTGCACTGTCTTGTGCCCGGGGACTGACTCTGCCTCTGTCTGTGACAGTGTGATGAACCTGGACGACCTGACCAGGAGGGGTCTGTACCTGAGTGACATTCCTCTGCACGACGCGACGCGCGACCTGGTCCTTCTGGGGGAGCAGTTCAGGGAGGAGTACAAACTCACACAGGAGCTGGAGATCCTCACAGACAGGCTGCAGCTCACGCTGAGGGCCTTAGAGGATGAAAAGAAGAAGACAGACACGTAAGGACGAGGAGGTCACACTCTATTCATGGTGTATCGCTACCCTGCCATAGGTCAGATTGATAGCCAGACTGAAAGGCCAGGGCCTTGCTGTAGCTGAGGAGGGGCAAACTCCTCTCTGTGTTCGTTCATTGGTTTGTTCATCCATTGCTTTGGGGTTTAGTAATTGAACCCCGAGCATCATGCACACTAGGGATGTGCTGTAACCCTGAAGTATATCCTGAACCCTACCTTGGCTTTGGTTGTGCATAAGGAAATAAAATCAGTTTTAATCATAGGAAAAAAATATATTCTAGTTTTAGAAGCCAGAGTAAAAGAGTATGTGCCAAAATAGCTCAGTGAAAAATGTGAGAGTGATTCAAATGCAGAGAGTCCAAGTCCTCATCTATCCATTCATTCATTCGGGCAGAGGGTCATCATCTGGGGTGTTGGGTTATGCTGAACCGTCTACTTACATTTTAGAAGATTTCTTCACATAACTGCAAATTATATTATTTAAGCAATCCCTGTGCTTCTAATTATAATGTCATTTACAAAGGTAGTACATATGTGGTGACATAAATTAGTAAAATGTAAAAACCCAAAGCTACCCTTTTGATGTGAATGATAAACTGAATTATGAAATATAGGCAAGTGACATTACAAAAATACATCCTTTTCAAGTTATAGATTTAAATGAGTATCCATCATGCCTACTACTATTTCCATGCTTCTGCATATTAGTGAAAAGCCTCGAGTCCTGCCTGTGTGTTCGAGCCCTGACCCAGGTTCCCTGTGGTGCTCATATGTGTAAATCTGGAGGCTACATCACTGTGGAATCCCACCACGCTGCCTCCGTCCCCATTACAGTCACCATAGTCCTTGAAAGCACCCACGATCCTAGCAGCACCGCTCGCACTCCTCTCTCACGTGGCACCTGTGCAGGTGCCGTGCGCGGAGACTGCACACAAGAAAATCCAGCAGCTCACCGTGGTCATAGCACAGCTGAGATGGAGGACTCCGGAGCATGGCTCCTTACTGGCGCGCCTTGGCTCTGCCCCAAGGCTGAAAGCTGGGCTCCCTTCCTTCAAGGACACTTGCTCTCTATCTTGCAAATGCCAGCAAGGATGCAGGAAAGAAACACGAAGTCTCCTGTTTCCTGCACAACAACTCGGGTATATTTGCTTGCTTGGCATGTGGCACAATTCCATCCAGGGACAATCACACTTTTCCATGGAGCTTGCAAGACTGCGCCTAGAACTGTGGTTGCACAGGTTTGTAAGTCTGAGGTCCTCAACGTGCTGTCTGCTTTTTATGTTATAACCCTCCCCTCCCCCAAAGTTTCTTGTTCTTTGTGCTGTGCCTCAGTGTTTCCTAGTGCCTACGTTTGCAGTTTTGGTAGGCAGCTTTCCGTCACTGTAACACATACCTAAGAGCATCAGCTTAAAAGGAAGAACGTGAACTTGGGCCACAGCTTCGGAGGTCTCAGTCCGTGGCCCCTTGATTGCTCCGCCTTTGCGCATGCCATGGCCCAGCAGAGTGGGAGAACTCAGCAGGGGAGCCTTCTGGGACGCCACCGAGGGGCGGAGACAGCTTCCAAGTGCACCATGAGGGCGTGCACCCCATCTGCACGGCTGATTCTACCAGGTTCTAGTACTTCCCAGTAGCCACTGTGCTTGGGCCTTTGGGGGACATTTAAGGTCCAGACAACTAATTGATACTCTAACAATGCACAATTTAAAGTGCAACAAACCCTCATATATTTTATATTTTATTGGAAACACCCCTTATTCACTTTGCCCTTAATTCCTCAGGGCAGGCAGTGTTGACCTCTCTCTCTAGGCCAGGAGCCCGGCGCAGGCACTGCTGGCCTTGGCAGGGTGGCTGCCCACAGTATGAGGTGCTGATCTGCGCTTACCCGGGACCCTTCTTTGTGTGGGTTTCCCAAGGTGGCGCCCACTTTTGAGTCTTTTTGTACTGTTTAGAGTGATGGCACTTCAAGAATTCTCACTTTTGAGAATGTTAGATTAGAATTAGACCTTTCACAAATATTTGCTTTCAAGGTGATTTTGTGATAAACCATTCATTGTTAATTTTCTTTAAAGCTAACTAGTTCTGCTGTTTACTTTTGATCTTCAAAAGTTGCCTTACTATTTTACAGTATGTTCTCTGCTTAGTTGTTAAAAATAAATGATGAGAATGTTCTCTAGTCCGTTCTGTACATTTAAGCTTCGTTCTTTGATCTGGGGAGCCGCGAGACAAGAAAGCCTCACTCGTTGCTGAGTCTTTAGATAAAAAGCCGTCGCTCACGTAGTTTGAGCATCTCTCGTCTGGACCCGTCAGCTCCCCCTCCTGGGTGCTGCGTGCCTGTGCGCAGCACGCGCTGTAGTAGTGCGAGTATTTCCTGCAGAAAGAACGCATTTTCTCATCTAGAACAACATCCGCTTGCCTCTGTCAGCTACTTCCACGGAAGAGTGAGGCCTGCTGAGCCCACAGAGCTGGCCTGCTTTGTGCGCTGTGACGTGCCGCGACCGGGCTAAACCGCTCGTGCCTGAGCGGCCTGCAGGGTTCTGCTTTCACTCTGTCAGGGCTTCAGGCTGTAATAGTGACAGCTTGCATGCTGAGAATTGCAAAACAGAAGAGTCCGAACAGAGGACCTCAGTGATGCTTTGGATACCAGCTACAGCGAGGCCTGGGTTTTCAGCTTATTCGATTGCCTGCTTTTGCTTTGACTAGAATTGGCTTGGGTTTGCAGACATAAAATAGATTAAAAAAATAAGTGATTTCCGTATTCCTTCTGTCTCTCCTTTTCTCTCTTTCTCTCTCTCTCTCTCTCCTCTGTCTCTCCTTTCTATGTCTTTCTGTCTCTGTCTCTGTGTCTCCTCTGTCTCTCTGACTGTCTCCTCTCTGTGTCTGTTGCTGTCTCTCTCTTTCTAGCTCTCCCCTCTGTCTCTCGCCCTGTCCTTGTTTGCATCTCTTTGTCTCTCTGTCCCTGTCTGTCTGTCTGTCTCTCTGGCTAATTTTACAAAGTGTCAAAAGAAATTACCAACAGAATGAAAAGACAGCCCACAAACATGTAAAAAAATCTTAACTAATAATCACTCAGACAAAGGTCTTCTGTCTAGAATGTATAAAGAAATAAAAAAAAATCGGAGTCCCAAAACTCAAGGACCCAATCCAAAAATGGGCCTCTGAGATGAATGTACACTTCTCAGAAGAAATTAAAGAGGCGAATAAATCCATGAAAAAATGCTCCACATCACTGGCCATTCAAGAAATGCAAATTAAAACAATAGTGAGATACCATCTCACCAGAGAAAGAACGGCTATCATAAGGAAAACAACCAACAAGAAATATTGGAGACACTGAGGGAAAAAGGAACCCTTCTCCACAGCTGGTGGGCATGTAGTCTGGTGCAAACATTATGGAAATCAGTGTGGAGACTGCTCAAAACACTAGCACTGAAAATCCCATTCAAACCTGCTATTCCCCTACTGGAAATTTTCCCAAAAGAATTGAAAACATCATATCATAGTGATACAGGTGCGCCTATGTTTACAGCAGCACAATTTGTGTTAGCCAAATCTTGGACACAACCAAAATGACCATCACCTGACGAATGGATGAAAAAGATGTGGGGTTTTTATACAATGGAGTATTACTCAGTTATAAAGAAAAACAAACTCAAAGCCTTTATATGTAAGTGGACACAACTTGAAGCTATACTCATAAGTGACATAAACCAGACCCACATGGGTAAATATTGTATTGCCTCCCTAGTGTAGAACTTGAAAGAAGAAATGAAAACTTAAAGGTATAACAGACATAGTTAAATGGAAAGAAGCAGAACTTAAGGTTTCAACAACAAAGAGAGAAAGGAGAAGTTAGGAAATAAGGTAGGGACAAAATCATATATGTATATATACAAGATGGATAAGGCAATGGTCCTAAAAATTTCCATCAGGTTTTTGAAAATAGTAGTCAGTGGGTAGAATTCTCACCCTGACTAACTCTCTATGTTGATATCTGTGAACTAAGCAACTACACTGAGGACAGCAATGTGTAACACTAAAACCATGCTTGAAATACCTGTCATGTTGGTCTTCTAAATTTGTACTATTTCTAATGCCATGTCAACTATTGCTATACTTTCTTTAAAGTAAAAATTTTTTAAAGGTAGGAAAAGAAAATGAGAGACAAGAACAAAAATTTAAGAGTTCTTGAAAGCATGTGATGATTTTCAATCATATGTCCCATCTTGCATAGCTCTATCTGTTAATCTGAGCAACAGATTTGATGATACAGTTAGATATTATATCAATCACTGTTAATCAGGTATTCTTGTTTTGAGAATCTGTAATGTATGTATTGTTGTAAGTTACCCTGTTTCTGTTTTTGCTTTTGTTTTTCTTGCTCTTGATTTTACTCTTCAAAATAAAATTTTGAAAAAAAATTAAAGTAAAATCTTTTCTCTTAGAGTGTCGTATCAGAACCCAGAGCGAGCGGCACGGGTGGTCTGTGCTAGGCTAGCAGACACACTGCTAGTGGTGTTCCCTCACAGAGACCTTCTCCCAATGCCAACAGGCTGCTGTACTCCGTCCTGCCCCCATCTGTCGCCAACGAGCTGAGGCACAAACGTCCCGTGCCTGCCAAAAGATACGACAATGTGACGATCCTCTTCAGCGGCATCGTGGGCTTCAACGCCTTCTGTAGCAAGCACGCATCTGGAGAAGGGGCCATGAAGATTGTGAACCTTCTCAATGACCTGTACACCAGGTTTGACACACTGACTGACTCTCGCAAGAACCCGTTTGTTTATAAGGCAAGTCCTCCTCTCCTGAGAGCACACCGCGGTGGTCTTCCGAGTCTGGGCTTCTAAGCTCCCCCTCTGTAAGAACCCACAGGGTGGCACTGTGGCCACAACCGTGGTACACTGAGCTGCCTTGTGGCCACTTGTTAGCATTTCCTTAGCAGTTATCTCCTGTTACTACTTTCTCTTCCTTGTCCCCAAAATGACTGTCTCCCGGACAGCCGGCTCCCTGGCTAGCGGCCCAAGTGCACTTAGCTTAGCCCTCCATGCAGGTTGTTCGTCACATTTCGTATAAACGGAGCTGGCACCGGAGTGCTGGCAAGAGACATTCCTTCTGAAATGCATAAATATTTTGCAATGAAAGAAGTTGTGGAGCTCGGGAAGTGTCCTGGGACGCAGGTTTGGTTTTAGATAACATCAATGTGAAGATAAACATTTATAAGGCAGCTCTGTCCTTTGTTTCAAGTAGAAGCAAATATAATAATGGAAAAGTAAAGCCAGTGGAATATTGCTTTATAAAGGCAAGAGTGCTAAGTAGACCCTCCGGTCACCAGCGTGACGCAGTTTCGCAGGGACTATTTATTGTGAAGTTAGTTTCGAGACAGTGTGGGCCTTGGTGAGCACATCATAAAAGTCAGCAGTTAGTGGGCAGGATGGATCACTGAACTGCAGGCCGTGGCCTTTGGGCCTTCAAACCATCGTCATTTTGGGGTAAAGTCAGGTGATTTCTCTACAGCATCATGAGAGGATCGCAAGTGGAAAGTAATTGCTTACTAGAGGAAAACTAAATCAGTCTGCATGTGGCCATAATCTCAGACTCTCGGTGCCAGGTATGGAAATTCCGGATAATTACAAAGTTTCATCTTGTTAGGGTTCTACATATCAGAATTTAAAAGGAAACAATAGCAGGGAGTGTTTAAAGTTGTTGATAACCCTGAGAAGTATTTTTATTAGAGTGACAAATGAAATAGTCATTTTTGCAGTTACCAGTGAGCCTCTCCCTTGTGTGCCCTATTAGGTGGAGACTGTTGGGGACAAATACATGACAGTGAGTGGCTTACCAGAGCCGTGTGGGCACCACGCACGGTCCATCTGCCACCTGGCCTTGGACATGATGGAAATCGCCGGCCAAGTTCAAGTCGATGGCGAATCTGTGCAGGTCGGTGGGCAATGTAGGTGGAAGGCTTTGTGGATAGCTGGCCTCCACACTCGATCAGAGTGTCACTTGCACCTACAAGGAAGGACAGGTTAACAGAAATAAAGAGCACAATTCACTGCACCTGTGGCATTACTTTCAATAGATGGGAGATGTATGTCTTATTTTAAGTTATCTAGTCTGTTCCATATACTGAAGGTCTTGAGGATGAGATTTAAAACAACCACCTCCTGCTGCCCTGTGCACAGTCCCGTCCTCTGCCCTTCACCTCCTACAAGTGTGCAGTCCACGTCCTTGAAGCTGCCACACCTCCACTGTTTCTTACTGTTTCTTTTGAGAGAGAAAGGGAGGGGTTTTGGAGCTGCCTGTAAAATCTTTGGAGCCTTTCAAATTCTCACATTTTTATGTAATGATTCTCTCTTACTCTGTAATGTAAAGTGTGTGCATGTGTGCACACGTGTGCCCATGTGCGTGTGTGTGCGCACACACACGTGCATATGCGTGTGCATGTGTGTGTATATGTGTGTGTGTTTGTGATCAATGTTATTAAAGCCAAGCTTTGCTTTCTGCAGATTACAATAGGAATCCATACAGGGGAAGTGGTGACAGGTGTCATCGGACAGCGGATGCCTCGCTATTGTCTCTTTGGAAATACTGTCAACCTGACCAGCAGAACAGAAACCACAGGAGAGAAGGGGAAAATAAATGTGTCTGAGTACACATACAGGTGGGCGGAAGGCGTTCGCTGTTCCCTGCAGGGCAGGGCAGGCATGCCCTGCATGGGGCCGACTTGGGTAGTCTTGTTATGTAGGTTTGAAAGTTCCTCCCTCTACCCCGACCGCCGCCACGTTGAGGTTTGTTTTGCATTTGAGAAGGTTGTACCGGTGTCCCCACTTAAGCGAGCCACCTTAGGGATCTCTGGTGTCACTACTGCTACCATGACCATCACCGAATTGCAATGCGGCTCGGGTCTTCTTGCTCTCTCAGTTATAACTTGTCCCTCTCTCCTTGTCTCCCCGGCCCGTCTTTCAGGTGTCTTATGTCTCCAGAAAACTCAGACCCGCAATTCCATCTGGAGCACAGAGGCCCAGTGTCCATGAAGGGCAAAAAGGAGCCCATGCAGGTTTGGTTCCTCTCCAGAAAAAGCACAGGAGCAGAGGTATGAGTGGTGGATCCCATTCTGCCTTTTATGATTACCCAACCACTGAAAATGTGTTTTATTTGGAAAAGGTCCATCTTACAGAAATTAACTCTTAGTAAGCTGGTGGGTGTAACTGAGGAATTACTGAGCCAGTGGGAACATTAACAATATTTTAGAGGATGCTGTGTGGTTGCCAGATTTTGTCCTTTTATGAAATTAAAGCCAAACGCCGAGGCTGAGGAGGCTGCGCTTATGCCTCCTCCCCATGGTTGTGCAAAGTGGCTATTCTCCAAACCGTCTGCCGGTGAACTTCTTAAAGCTTTAGGTTTTCCTGAGAGCTGGAGTATCTCCTTGTGGGATATGTTAGGATTTCTTAAAATCCAATCCCTCCTGAGTCTTATCAAGAGACTCGAATGACATGTACTCTACCAGGTTCTAAATGACTCCGCAGGGATGCTTCAGGCTGTTAGGAGCACTGTGTGGTGCGCAGGCCTTGCAGCACCGTGTGGGCAGCCTGGCCGCAGAGCGGAGCTCACGCTCGCGCTGGCGGGGCCTCCCGCTGCTGGATGGGCTGCGCGGACGCCCGGCTGAGCTGTTGTTCCCCGTATCAGGAGCTCTTTGGAGGGGCGTGAGATTACCTATCACGATTTTCAAATGTATGTCGGCACCCTCTAAAAATGCTTTTTGAAGAAGAATATGGCAGATCCGAAAGGGAACAGAATGCCACGTTTGTGAACATGTGTCGTGGTTCAGTTATTGTGACTTGAAATCGTTTGTCTGTGAGGTCGGCATGAGCGCCGAGAGTGCCTGAGCACAGAGCCTGCTGCACCCAAGTGTCGGGATCTCTTTTGGGTGGCCTGAAGAACAGTGTCACCCTGAACTGTGGTTGCCACGGATGGTGGGACGTTATGGATACAAACGCAGACCCTGTTCCTAGAAAGAAAAATATCCGGGGCAGGCTTTCTCACCCCACATCAACGTCTTTTCTTCCATTTTTTGAAGGGAACAGGCCAGGAGGACAACTGAACGGCAGCTTGTGAGATGAGGTGTCCCAGGGCGCCGCCGGGGTCTGCGACGCGTGCCGAGCCAGGGGCTCTTCCGCCCTGCGCGAGGCGTCACCACCTCCCGGTCTGCCCGTCATTTCCTCCGCAGGGCTCCTGTGCTGTCGTCACTTAACTCTCGCTCCGCTTCTGAGTATTTCTGTGGTTTTGGTAGATTATCAGAAGTTTGGCTTCTAATGTGGGTGTTGTGAACTTCTGTGTCTTCATGTCTACTGTGCGTTTTACCTAAAATGATGATCTGCTAATAGTAGCCGCCCAATAAACATTTGTTGAATTACAATATTTGTTGAAGTAAAGGAAACTGAACAGTATTTGGCACTAGATATATCCATATATCCATATATATATATATATATATATATTCCATATATATGCATGTATGTATATTTTAATGACTATAACATAGAACAAAATTTATATCATGTTGGTGTATATTGTTATAGAAATCATTTTCTAAAGAATGAATTCTAAGATTTAGGGAAAATACAGTTTATTTTGAAATGTCTGAAGAGTTAATATACCCTGCTGAGAAAAGAGTGACTATTTTGTAGTATGCAGACTCCCTCTGGAAACGCAGACTATGTGGTCCCGGTCTTTTTGGTCGCGGCCTCCCGCCCCACAGGCTGCCCTCTGCACCGCCTCCCCGTGGTGACCAGGGCAGCCGCATGCAGCTGCACAGGAGTCCGCGCTGCTCGCGGTAGCTGGTACGTCAGCTCGGGCCACCTGACAGAGCCCCTAGGGCCCCTAGTCACCCCCAAGAGGCAAACTGGAAATGCGCCGCACCTAGAGCCGTCCTTTCTGGCTTTCCTCCCAGAAATCAGCCTTTTCTTCTTGGCTTAGGAAAATGCGGTTTCATCAAAGGCATCACCCCGGAAAGCTGTTCGATTGCAGTGCAGAGTGCGTTTCTATCAAAATAATTGGCTTGTTGTTCTAAAACTGTCTCTAGTAATTTATTGATACCTACCTTTATAAAGTATAGTGCAGATACCTTTCTGTAAAAAGGCTTCTCTTTAAATTTACTATTTCATATCAACATATCAATATATGTATAAATGTTCCATGTTAATGTGTAAAAGAATCTGCAATAAATTATTTTTTCCACTTGACTCCAGACAATTTTTATTCTAATAAAATGTGACCATTATCACTTTTAAATTTATTCACATTATGTTATAGATATTTTAAAATTTCACCTATACTAAACTTTTCATTTGCTGCTGATATATAGATAGATAGATAAACAGATAGATATAGATATAAATATATGTATATATCTGTGTATCTTGAATTGCAAGTGATTTGTTCTGTGAGTATTCCTCAGAATAAGTTTTAACTTGATAAATGAGTGACATCTTTGGTATGAATAGTGTGTGATGCCAAATGTCAGCTGAGCCTTTGGCCTCTCCCTCTCCTCTCTCTCCCTCTCCCTCTCTTCTCCCTCCCTCTGCCTCTCCCTCTCCTCTCTCCTTCTCCCTTTCCCTCCCTCAGTCCCTCCCTCCTTATTTCCCTTCCTCCTTCACTGTCTCCTCCTTCCCTCCCTCCTTCCCTTCCTCATTCCCTATTTCTCTCCCTCCCCCTTCCCTCCCTCCCTCCCTCACTCTGCAGGAGCATGGGTGAGGTTGTGGAGAAGATCTTGTCTATCTCATCTTCACATCTGCAGAGGAGGAGAAGCAAAAGGCAGAGGAATTCCTTATGAGATTAGGGAGAAGTGTAAGGTGTGGGAAATGGTGAAGAATTTTGTAGAAAAGCAACACCCAAATGTACCTGCAGCAGGGTGAGTGGTGAACCTGCCTAACAATGCACTGTCACGCTTCCATGGAACCCTAAAATGGAGGCAAGCAGGTGTCATCGAATGGCTCCTGTGGTAAGGTTGTAAGAACAGAAAAGGATCCCGCTGAGCCCCTGGACAGCAGTGGTGCATTAGGGAGCGTCGACGTCTCCTACACAGCAGTGCTCTTGTCCTCGCAGCCAGCAAGGTTTTCAAAAGGTCAGTGCAGTTAATTTGTTTTTTTTCTGATACTTTGTATTTTCTTTACTATTTTGTATTATATTAAAGTATTATAATCATTTTATATGAGTATTTTTGTGGGTGAATCATCTGAGTTTCCATTGTTTCTTAGGGGAATTTGCTTTGCTGTGCAAAAGTTTTGGATTATAAGCATGCTTCAGAATGACATACTTACAAATCAAGTGAAGGTTTTATTCTCTCTCATGTGTGTGTGTGTGTGTGTGTGAGAGAGAGAGAGAGAGAGAGAGAGAGAGAGAGAGAGAGGGAGAGGGTGAGGGAGAGAGAGTGTACTCCATCACTGAGTTAATCCACAGCCCACAGAGTGCATTTTAGTGGCTTCTCCTAGGACTACTCTTAAATGTCATTCTTTCATACTAACTTGACAGAAAAGAAAAGGCTAGACATGGGAGGAATACATAGATAGATTTAAAATGCATGAGCTTATCTACAAAGCTGACAAGCCTTCAAGAGTTACAGACATACACAAATAACTAAAACATTTCATATTCATATGATACAGTGAAAATCCCCGAGAAGGTCGGGCTTGAGGCTCAGTGGCGTAGCGCTTGACTCTCGCCCCAGCAGAAAAAGCAATCAAAATAAAACAGAAACTACCAAAAAATTTAAAACCAAATGTTATGAAGAAGTCTATCAGCTTGGTTTGGAGACATATGTACATGTTCTTAACTTTAAAACTGAAAATACATACGATCTACATTTGAGAACTAATTTTTATTTCGGTCTATGTAAATCTGCGGTTGAGGCGGTGGCCAGCTCAGTGGGTAGCGTGACCCTCTGCAGTCTGTGCCTGATTCCACAGATGCTGCGTCCTGCTCCTCAGGAGCGCGGTCCTGGTTGGGTCTCCGCGCTGGGGCTTTGCAGAGCCTCCAGAGGGCAGCAGAGGATGTTGCTTGTTGTCCAAGTCCAGAAAAGACCAACGCAGGACAGATCTTTCTCGCAGGAAAGTGCTCCCTCTGGGCCACCCAGTGACGTCGCTTCCTGTGTGCCCGCTTGAATTCGTTCCTACTCTCCCACAAATTCAAAAGAAGCCAAAAAAAAAAAAAAAAAAAAAAATTTCTACCCGTAAGAACACTCCTGTAGTATCAAATCCGCTCACACATACCTTGTTCAGAATGGCAACCGAGAATTTCCTCTGATTCAATAAGAATTTGCCAAAGCAGGCAATTTGTAATAGAAAGAATGGATCAATGTCATAATTTTGAAGTTACCTGAGGCTTCTGTTAAAAGCTATACAAGGTACACAAAGTAAATACTGTTTATAGAAGTAAACTTTATTTACAAGAGTAAAACACAAAAGTGTATTTTTAAAACCATTTAATTTGCATTAACAAAAACATTGTGATGTTTCTTAGTGACCTCTATCAGAGAGGAGAATGTAGTGTAGGTGACCCACCTACCACTGTACAGAGGCTCGAGAGTCACCCAGTGACGTCGTGTGATGTATTAGAACTCAGTTTCATACTCTATTAAAAAAGAAGCTAATATTAAAAATATCAAAACTCCATAATTTGTTTTGCTGAAAATGCCAGATCATGCGTGCTGTGATTTGGCTTGGTCATTTTGGAATTAATGCTACGAGGATTAGCAATCGACGGACAGTGGCTGGATTACTGCACGATTGCAAAGCTTGCTCCTAAGAAATTAAATCTGAAGCCGACATCTGGTGAAGGCTGATTCCAAGTTAAACCAGAATGAATAGATGCAGAGTCTTACGTGTGTTTCTGGTACAAATGCACGCTATAATATTTACCTGATTACACCAGCTAAATTCAGATTCTTTAATGAAGAGTTTTATGTTTGATTTCCTAAAGCATGGGGAATTGTGTCTTCATCCGATTGTTGTCCTCCAGCGCAGTGTCTGCGCTGCAGTTGGTCTCAAGTGGGGCCTCAGAACTCGAGTCTCCCGTGTATCCTTTTGACTAGGAAACTATTACTCAGAAACTAAAGATAGGAAAGTTCAGTGTTAAGTAAAGGCCAGGTTTCGTTGTCATGAATACATTTTGCTGTCTGTTTTCTAAAATGCTGGCCACAGCTGCCTACCCAAAGTTTGGATCATCCGGAGGGAGCAGTTATGTGCAAGTAAAATATGAGCACGTGTTTAAAAAATCCAGAAATACATTCTTGTGATTCTTCATCACATGAGTGAGTTCCACTGGTCCCCATAAAGATAATATGAGACAGTCCTGGAGAGCAAAAATGCTAAATCTGACACAGTGATTGCTGACAGTTTTTTAAAAAAGGATTTTAAAAATGCACAATTGCCATGCTGGCCCCACTGAGACTGGGCGTGGTGGCGCACACCTATAATCCCAGCTCTTGGGAGGCTGTAAACAGGTGGATCGCTACTAGTCCAATCCAGCGGTGAGACCCTGAATGCCCTGTAGACCCTTCCCTAAAATACACAAAAAAATCCACAAAATTTCAGAACAATATAATAGGAGGGTAACAATGGTTAATACATTGCATATTTTTGTCTTTAAATCAGCTACTCAGAGGAGAAGATATCAGCATTTAATTGTCAAAAAATATTAGTACAGACTATTCTTTTCAATGAATTTAGGGAAATATATATATATATATATATATATATATATATATATATATATTTCCCTTCTCACCTCAGTTTTTCCTTCCTTTTGAAATCTTTTTACATTCACAATATCTATTGTACCTTTTGGATCTTATTCACTCTAAGTGAATAAGTTTACCATACGAGGGAGCTAATACAGTGCTGACACATGCGAGTCTGATTTATTTCACTTAGGGAGTATGGTCTCCAGTTTCATCCCTTTCCCAATAAAAGCCTCAAGGTCATCTTTCTTTATAGCTGAGTAATAATGCATTGCAAAACAAAACCACGTTTTCTTACCTATTCCTTGGTTGATGGGCATTTTGGTTGTTTCCAAGATTTAGCTATTATAAATTGTGCTGCTATAAACATAGGTGCACACATATAGCTGCTTTGAATGTGTTAGTACACATAACCAAACTGAAGAGATTTTCTTTGTTTTATTTACTTATTTATTATTTGCAGTGCCGGGGATTGAACTCAGGACCTTGCGCTTACCAGGCAGGTACTTAGTTTACTGAGATATCTCCCAGGCCCCCCTTTATTTGTGTTGTAAAATCAATCCATTCAGCCCTGCTGAGCCAGCTGCTGCTTCCTGTGTCTCCCCCCATCCCCAGGCAACTGGGAGTCTACATTGGGGTGAGCATTTGGCCCAGCAGAGTTGCTTTCTGGAACAAAGCTGAGGGAGGGTGACTTGAAGCCATAGTAGGTTTCCTAGAACTGTGTACAATCCAAGCTGGGATGTGGCAAGAAGGCAGAGTGGCCCAGTGAAGGGTGGCAGGAGGTCAGGTGGAGGCGGGCGGACTCTGGAAAGGAAGCCCACGTGGGTGGGAAGCCTTCCCTGGGTTCCAGCTGCCCTGGGCAGTGAGGTTGGAGCTTTCTCCTCTGATGGCTTCTCACCCTCAGGTGGAAATATGGACTTGGATATCAAATACGCAGGCGTGCGTGCCTTGATGTATTATTATAACTGTTTTTCTCTCCAAAGCACAATACTCGGAGCCTACAGAGCAAACTATAAAGCTAATCACTATCAGCACAGCCTAACAGAAATGGAACGTGAGGCACCCAGGAGTCAATAATGACACGTGACTTTTTGAGTTTCGTGTCTCCAGTAGTCACACTTCAGAAAGTAGGAAGGAACTCATACAGCTAATTTTAATACAATATTTAACCCAATCTAAATGAAATAGCACTGTAGTGTACAATCCATTTCAAATGGGCACGTAGCTCTGTTACAGCCTTCATTGTGTCCTAAGTCTGAAATTCAGTCGCCCCACACCCTTGAGGCACGTGGAGATGCAGACGAGGCTGGCTTCGAGAGTCCCGTGGTCAGATAGCCCTGGCCACCGTGTGGGGCCCCGTAAGCTGATGTCTGTTTGGGTCTTCCATGAGAAAGGGTCACCATAAATAGTGGTTTCATTGAATCAACTTAGCTTTTATAAAAAGGGAAAAAGAAAAGTAGCTGAATAGTTGAAAGAGAAAGTGGTCAGTGGATAAAGAAAATCTAT